AAGCTCCAACGCCTATATCCACCCCATCTTGCCACATCTGCTGGAAATCCATGACTTGCTTTTATCCCTCTCCTAGTTTCCATGGAGACCCAACAGTTTACTTTTTTCCCCCAACTCTCAGCCATGGTTATTTTTAACTGTAAAACTCTGAGCCAGGTCACAGCTGGGATCTGGAAGATGTAATGACGTCTATAGCCACCCTTCTCTCCCACAGACGCCTTCTTTTCTGCAGTTGCTGGGGGCGGAGGCACTCCTGGGAGATTTTGCTCTCAAAAGCATTTTGCTTTGCATTGTGAAGTTAAACCTATGCTGACTTCGATCTGACAGGTGTCCTGAATCTGAAACCGTGCACACCCGAAACAAGGCAAAGATTTTCGTGGGGTGGGGGAGGAGGGCTGCCAGGTAAGCTTGACGTTGCTGTCACGAATCTGTGGCTAGAGCTTAGGTAAAATACCCTCTGGTAAAATAAATCAAAGTGCTCTCCTCTGGGGAAAAAAAATAAGGGCTCTGGCTCCTGCCCCCAGTAGAGTGGCTTTTTTTTTTTTTTTTGCTGCGGCCTGTCCTTGGTTAAAAAGAGGCTTCTAACAGGATACTGTATGGAAGAACCGTTCTACCTCTCCAGGGCAGACAGCAAATTCCCATGGGGTCAGGGTGGGAACCCTGCTGCCCCCTCCTTCTCTACGGAGAGTTCAGATCAGTCCACCCACCCCTCAGGCCCCTGGTACTTGGGAGCTAGTGTGTTCATGGCATTTCTGAACTCTTCACTCCTTTTCAATATTTCTGGGGTGTGGGGGGGGAGCTATTAAATAACCCTGGAAATTGCCCTTCTCATCTTAGACAACATCCTAAGATTGAAAATGGACATAAAACATAAGACACTTAGCTCCAGTTCAGTATGTTTTCTCACAGGGGACACTGATTGGGAACATTAAAAAATTAAGCACCAGGGCACCTGGGTGGCTCAGTTGGTTAGCGTCTGCCTTCGGCTCAGGTCACGATCCCAGAGTCCTGGGATCGAGTGCGCATCAGGCTCCCTACTCAGCAGGGAGTCTGCTTCTCCCTCTCCCTCTCTCTCCGTGCCAAATAAATAAAATCTTAAAAATTAAGCTCCCCAGTGCAGGTTCCATTAATTTTTTATTTCTTAAAATAATACATTTTTATGTTTTTAAGGAATTCCCTAAATGAAGGGTGATCATAGGGGAAAATCCAAATCAGGAGTTATCTATTGTTTAATGGGAGAAAAGAGAAGGTTAGGTCATTGCAAACAATTTCAGAAACAGAGTATATACTTGGCAGACAGCTCTCCAAGGAGAAGAGAGACGCATTACAAGTGTCATGACTTGGAACTTGGCTGTCAGTTCACTTAAGAAGGGTGATAAGATGACAGCATTTCAGCATTTTTACTTTGATTAATAAAGTGCTGGTTTCTTAAAACAACTATGAGGTCTCCTCCTTTCCACACTTCCTAAGATGCTACTTCTGTTCAACAGAACTCTAGACCAAGGCAGGATTATTAGCAGGCTTCCACGGAAGACCTCAGGGTAAACCAGAGCAAGCCGAAAAAAAAAGTGTTGCTTGGTTAAGAATGATTAATTCAACCAAATAATTAGTGTGGTGCCACAGAAATCCACCTCCTGTGGTCCAAAGTAGAAAATAAGTGGCTCAGACTTAATTATCCAGCCCTGAAAGACATCTAACAAGTCTGGGCTGGCAAAGGTTAAGTATAGGGCTTGCAAAGACAAAGGGAGGTACATCTATTAAATAAAAAAAAAAAAAATTTTTTTGTAGCTCTCAGTTTTGGGTTTTAAACCTTTTAATGGTCACTTTCTGGATTCTTATCTCAACTTCCTCATTATTCCTGCTCCTAACAGGGAAGAGGGCCCAGTACACAATACATAACAAGCAAGTAACTCATCGTGACAGAGACTTTTAATGTCAGATGTTAAGACAATCACGCTTCCCTTAAATACCTGTCTCTTGACTAGTAAGCCTGGTCAAATCAAAGAGCAGTCGATACTCTTACCATGGCGCATCTCAACTGACAGAAGCCAAGGCAGCAGGCAAAACTGAACAGAAAAAGAACTCCCTTCCATTAGATTTACAAACTGGCTTCTCAAATGATTCACCTGTCCCCGTCTCCCAGCCCCCAACTCCTCAAAAGCAGCAAACTTAAGTTCTGGTGCATACTACACGGATGGGCTACTTAGGTTCCAAAATATTCACTAAATGCTCACTTACTGTTCTCGCAAATTAAGTGCCTATGTTGGCATGCCCATGACTATCCTATCCAGGCTGCTCTGACCCTGTTTGCAATCAGAGATCCGGCTCCATCTCACATCACACTCAGAAGAGGTGGTTATTGTGTCTGATTGAGAAATTCTTTGTCTTAGTTCCTACACAAGGCTACAGGCATGGCTGTGTCCCTTTCTGGCAGGTCAGGGAGAAGTTAACCACAGCTGGCTAAGCATACTAGGAAGGAAAGCAAAAACTTCCAGATCAATACTTCCTGAAACAAACTTTAATTTTTAGAAATTCAGACAAATGATGGGCGCCTGGGTGGCTCAGTTGTTAAGCGTCTGCCTCCGGCTCAGGTCATGATCCCAGGGTCCTGGGATCGAGCCCCACATCGGGCTCCTTGCTCCGCGGGAAGCCTGCTTCTCCCTCTCCCACTCCCCCTGCTTGTGTTCCCTCTCTCGCTGTCTGTCAAATAATTAAATAAAATCTTAAAAAAAAAATTCAGACAAATGAAAAACCAGGTACATAGGAGCTGTGGAAAGGCTTCTTGCGTTAACAGTAATAGAGCGTCTATCTATAAGGTACCCGCAAAGACATCCTTAAAAATGGATGGGCAGTATTCCAGGGTACTTTAGAACACAGTACCACTCTCCTACCCAGAGATAAATGGAAGAGTGTTACGGATGAGTTTTTCCAAGCTTCTCTCTACAATTTGGGTCTCTGATTCTTTACACTGAACATTTTAGTTCTCTTATTACATAGCTACAGAGTTCCTAAAGCTGGAGTGACTTACCAACTGGAATTTTGTTGTTGTTGATGAATGTCATTGGTCTTCTCCCCTTTCTGGCTGACCACAAGCTGGTTTCATGACTCAAAACTAGGAAGCTTGTTCTTACCTCTCAGCAAGGACTGGTTAGTTAGCTGAGTTCAGATTTAAATGGGGGGGGGGGCGGGAAGGAGGAACGCAGGGGGTACTGTAAACAAGAAAAGGATGAAAACTGGAACCCAAAAAGAGATAAACCATGGAGTTAGTTGGTCTCAAGAGAGTCTAGATCTTTGAGCATGGAAAGGGTCATGACATGGGAAGAAATTTAATCTTTATTTCCCACCCCTGGCAGAAAAGTACATATCTAAAATTCCAGCAGAAACCTTTAACTTTAAATTGCAATAAAAATTCCTAACAGTAAAAAGTATTGATGTCACCAAGTTTGAGTAAATGCTCCCTCTTCAGAATGATATGGACTAAGAGAGACCTCGATCAGTGTAGTTGGTTTATAGCCAACTCTGTCTAGCAGCAAAGGGGAAGGATGGAGTATACTTTTAAGGCCTTTGCTAGCTCTGAATTTTGAGTAACAAGAAGGGCCTCCTTTGGTGGTAAGAACATAGAAGGAAACAATGTATTTACACCAGCCAAGTCAAATATCACCAAGTGCTTTTCTATTTTAAGTGCAAAAAGATGGCGACTCTGACTGAAGAGTAGCCCTTACCCAAAATATGGCTTGATCTTTGAGAAACCTACCAGGGATTCTAGGTCATAAATTTTGTACAGTTGGGCTTACCACAATAATAATCCTACTTCCTAAAATCTAATCATTTGAAATTACAGCCTGATTTTTCTATCACTATTTTCAACCATGCCATTTTCCTCATCAAATCTAGATCCCTCCCTCACCCCATCAGTTTTTTCAGAGTTTGACTGGTTCCAAGGTTTCTATCAGACTGTCCTCCCATCCTCCCACTCCTAACTACCCCAGCTGCCCCTTGTGTCCTCGCCAACTAAACCTCTTGGCATCATTTTCCTCACTCCCACTGCTGCCTCCACATCATCCTCCACCCACTATGTCTGCAACTGTCTCCCACTCCCATCTGCCACTTTCTCTCTCTCCTCTCAATCCTCTCATTGCCTCAAGAGCTCACCTCTCCCAGGGAGCCTTCCTTAATCAAGACTAAGGACTCTTGGGACTATAAGAGACACCACCTAACCCTGGTGTCTAATGCATCCCCAATTTTTAGAACAGGAATTACCTTTCAGGAACAAGAGGAAATCCGTTTATAACCAAGTAGGGGTGATGGTAGTGGCAGAGCACATTTTCTGAGAGGTAGGACAATGCAAAGACAAGACAGCATTTCCACAAGTCACCCTTTCTCAAGATTGAAGTCTTTTATTCTAATTCCCTCAGATCCTAAGAGTTTCCTTTTCATGTGCAACCGCCAGGTAAGCATGCATATTTACGTAAGTCAAAAAGTTTGAGCAAATACTTCCAACAAAGCATATAATATTTTACTTAGATATGTTGAATGCTGAAAGAATTGAAGAATCATTCAGCTACTGGAGATTATTTGTGCAGATTCTGAAGTTACTTCTACATATAACTTTGCTTCTAACAGAAACGGGATAACCATGACTCCACGTTTGGCTTACTTTGTGGAAAGGTTTGAGGATCAAGTTTCAGATGTGGTGGGGTTACTCACCTTCATATCTAGTGAGTCCCATATATGAACTGCTTTACTTTTGTTTTAAAAGTTGCTTTTCTTGCAGGCTAGCCTGTCACCATTGAGAAATTAGGGTTCAGGTCTCAATCCAAGCAAAGCCGAGGTTAGCTGTGTCATCTCCATCCTCAGGGGCCTGGTATCCTGGGAAACCCAGGGTAAGAACAGGGTGACTCCAGGACACACATGTTAGCAGAAACAGTGCGGCGTGATGAGGAGGGCACTCAACACCCTAAGTGTGCTTTAGTTACCAGAATACTTGACACACCCACAAATTAGGTAGCAAAACATTTTAATCCATTAATTCTAAAAATAACAGACATTTTATATCCGGTGCCACCTCCTCAAGAGTCTACTGCAGATTAGACAGTCAAGTAGAAAGCCAGACATTAAAAGGGGAAGATGTAGTTTGGGACAAGACCATCACGGGGAGATTTTTCCTCCCATTTGCTCATAAACGTAAGTCATCAGCTTAAAAAAATCCTCAGAAGGAAAGAGAAAGCTTTCTCATGCTCTATAACCTTTCTCTTTATTTTAGATCTTTCTGTAATGTTTGAAGGCAAAACAGATAATCAGAAAACCAACTTCCCAAGTACAAAGATCTGGACTCCCGGGACTACAGACTGCTTCAGTTCTATTTCTACCGACATTCTGATGTGAGGTACTATGGTTCTTGTTTTAGTTACAAGAGGTGTTGGGAATAGAGGCCCACTCACATTTAATAATAGCTTATCTAGCACATAACTTTGCAGCACAACACCAACAACAGGAGTGTTTTAAAGCAGGGTGGAAAAGAAAAGTAGGTATTAATACAACGTAAGGTTCCCTTTGTCCTTCCCCTCTTTTTACAATGAGAACTCAGCTCAGCAATGAAACTCTCCAGAATGCCTGTGCTGTCCTTTGGCCTACCACATTCCAAATTTGTGATTTCTGATCCGAAGCCCTCAGAGCCTCAGGCTTTAGTGATGTATCCTTCTCGGATGAGGAAATCATAGATTTTCCGGGTTTTGTTCACATCTATCTTGATGAGTGCTCTTGCCTGCGCCAGTCTCAAGCCTCCTTGCTTGTTACATTCGTTCAATAGAGCAGATTTGTATTCTAAATAGGCTCCTGGGACCAACCTCACCATCTGACAGAGCTGCAAGACACGGCAAATTTAATAAACATTAACATCTGTCATTCTCATAATTTAATCCAATAGGTATAGCCAAAATAAAATTTAAAAAGTGACATCAACCTCCAACTATTTATAGGAGCTGCTGGGTGGCTGGACCACATTCCATTTAATCTCTTCCTTGGAGAGAATTCTCCCTCACTACAGACATTGAGGAAGAGAAAGCCAGAGTCTGATGTCTCTCCCAGCAGGCTCACCTGGGTCTGTCAAGGAGCACAAGTATGTGTCCTGAGGAGCAGCCTGGGTCCACATAGCTCTCGGCCCAGCACATTCCAACACAGCCAGTCGGGGAAGAGCCACAGGGCACAGTAGGGGCGGGGGTGCAGATACTTGGGTTTCCAAGTGTGAATCACATTATTTTTAGTATCAGCATAAAGTAGTCATCCCTGCTTTTGTGACTACATTTCCTACTTTGAAGGAGGAGGAGATACAGGCCTTGCAAAGAGGCTACTTCAGCTGCTAAAAATCTAGAAAGCTGGCTCAGTCCCAGTTCACCTGCCACGGCACCCCAGGGCAATGAGCAGTATGAGGTCACTGCTTGTAAGGATAAAAACTGCTTGCAACTCCCGGCCAATCAATACTTGACTCAGAAAGGCCTGTGACCTTCTTCAGCAATACTGAAATAGAACATACACTCCTCTCTATTCCCAAACTAATCTTTACTGCTCCTGGGGGCTGAAATCAAAGACTAACAGCCCCCACTCCATGACTCCCCTTACTGTCTGACCTGAATTAATGACATGGAGTGGCAGATGGGGAGACTGATCTTGGAAACTGTAAAAGGAGCGCATGAGGAACAGAAGAGGGTTCCTCTTTTGGAATGGACTTCAGAGCTAGGCACATTTTTTGGAAAATGCTTGAGGATGACTCCTTTGAGGCTGGCTTTAAATTTTTGAGACAGCCAAAAGTAATATGAAGACAAGTCTGATGATTTTAGTGGAAAAGAAAAGTAGGTCATGGCATTTTTAATCAAAATTAGTATATGACTATATGTGATGATGAAGTTCCTTACTTATGGCTTATATACATGCTCTGGAGACAATCTTTTAAGTGATGGTTATATTGTTGGGATAAATGTAGAGCTCATCAAAGTGAGCATTCTAATAGGAAATAACTATTTTCATATACAAGTTATTTTAAGTTTATAAACAATTTCATTCACATGAAGCACTTAGTACAGTATCTGGTACATGGTAATGCTCAATAAACAACAGCTACCATTATTTAGATTTATATGTCATAATCAACCCTACTCTTGCTCCTCTAGCCCCCCTTTTCTTTGTTACCTCCTTTTCTTTTTCATTCAGCTTCTCTGTGCCAGGGAGGCCAGTGAGGTTCAAGGGTGGTGCACTTCGTCTACCTACAGACACAGAAAAAGGTATGTGTTTCATAGGAGTGACAATTCCTCAGGTGTGAAGTAACACAGCCCACTGCAACCAGGCCAGTGAGGTACAAGGTCACGATGTCCAGCTCTAAGAAATCTCTACCCATCACCTCAGGCCTCAGTCTAGTTGGCAACGTGGGCACCCCAATGTTTGCCTGAAAATACAAGTGGTAATTCACGTGCCCTTTGCTCTGCCAAATTACACAATCACATACACCCTAGCAACCCAGTTGCTACTCTTTCCAACCCAGTAAGATTCTAAACTCTAAAGCCCAGATGTCACCCAGTGAAGGACGGTCATACGCTGCCCGCCCCGACGGCTGATGAATGGAAAGAACAGCTCCACAGGAGAGACCCTTCCCAGCCCTCAGGACTCTGCCAGGAGCGCAAGGCAAACACAGTAATTAACCAAGTACCATTTGCTTTAGGATCAAAGGCAGACTGTTAGGCCAGCAAAAGGCCCTTCTTATTTATTATGTGAGGGAATATCTGTTCCTTCTAAAGAAGCCCTGTTTACCTGAAAGATCCACACAGAGGAACAATGAGCCATTATATGGCAAACCAGAAGCTGAGGTGAACTCACATACTGAGAAAGAAACCCAAGTATGAGGTCACTGCCCAGGATGGGAAGTTTCATGTGTAAGATTTTTTGCTTTTGTTTTGAATATATATTTGGGATTAGTGTTCAGTTGGGAGATAGGTGGGCTGAGTTAGGCAAAAGAAAATGTAGAATAATGTATTAACAAGTTTTATGGCGGCTGCCTTTTAGGAGGTGGCGAGAAATAGGGAGCAAGTGTTAGAGGCTGCTCTGAGAGAAAACAGGCTTCTCTGTAGTATCAACAAGCGCATAAGAGCTTCTCCATAACCAGTAGGGCTAGCCTTCCCCTAAGTGTTCAAAAAGGGAGACTAAAATCATTTGGTACCTCACCAAAGTTACCAGAAGCTAGGTTGTAATTAACGATCCAGGCTTTCTACTTTGTACTGCCTTAGGAGCAACGGAGAACATGAAGAGGAACAAGGGGTCTCCTCAACCTAAATACAGGGGGCGAGAAAGGCTAATACCAGCCTAGGAAGCAACAAAGAATAAATGAGTACAGATGGTTCCAAAAATGCAAACACCAAATTATTAATTATCACTGTACTATATTTTTGTTATTTGTATTTCTGTATTTAGATTCGGGGGGCAGGGTTAGAAATAAGAAATTTGGAAAATAAAATTTGCATTTAGCTGTTGTAACTACTCTCTAAAAGACTCTTTCTCTTTTAAGTATTAAGAAATAATCGCCTGAAACAAAGGAATCAATTTTTTAAAAAGTATCCCTAGAGTAGCCATCTCTGAGCCCTGTCTAGATCCTGAATCTGATTTCTTTTTTTTTTTTAAAGATTTTATTTACTTATTTGACCGAGAGAGA